CCGCCCCGCCCCCGCCACGAGGAGGGGGCGGGGCTCCGCGTGGGCCACGCCCACCACGGGGAGAGAGCGGGCGCGCGCACGTCACCCGGGGGGCGGGGCGGGCTGGAACTAGGTCGGCGTGGGGCGGAGTCAATGGGAGGAGTGGGCGGGGCCACAGGTGGGTGCAATGGGCCCAGGGTGCTTGCCTGTGGGGCTGCCAGAAGCTGGGCTTGCCTCCCCACCCAGCAGGGGGGGCAGGGAGCCCTACGCCTTGCATCCACCCCACGCACAAATCTGAGGGGCACGCGCCCCCTTGCGCCTTTCTTCCCCATAGGGGGCAACACCCCCTCACCTTGTATTGTTGTGACCCCATGCGGTGTCACACTGCCGATTTTGGGAACCACTGCTCTAGGATCCAGAGCTGAGATCTGCTCAGGTCCCTTCCGACCCTACTAACTATGAAACTATGAAGATGGGCGCGAAGAATGAAATGCACAAACATGTCTGGTATGTGCAGGAGGAAGGAAGGGCCAGGTGGGGAAATGAAGAGTAATTGAGGCCATGGCAAGTAGAGCAGGAACTTAAATAGATGCACTACAATGACCTTCCTTGGAATTCTGCCACCGCTGCTTGGGTTGCTTTCTTTTTGTTTGGAATAAAGTAGGAAAGCGCACAAATACCCAAATGTTACAGAATTAAACAAATAAATATTAATCTCATTACATCCTGTACAGGCAGGGGTTGGGGAGTAAGCAGGTCTTCATTTAAATGACAAAACAGGAGTTACAGGGATTTGAGGCTGGTTATGGCCTCAGGAACAGTTAAAAATAACAACAGCAACAACAACAAAAAACAACAACTCACAGATCTTGCAAAGGCAAAGTCTCTCAAATTTATGTCTTCCAGAGAAAACAAGTAATCTAGTATTTCAGTCCTCACTGGGCCTTTGTGGCAGATACTTTCTGAATTCCCCAACCAATAATTGCGCTGCTGTTCTTCTGAGATATGCACTCCCTGATGATTTTACCAGCAGCTGTGGAAAGGCCTATGATAAGCAAAGTGATTAACCTTTAGTATTCTGGGTAAATGGTTCCTCTTTTTACGTTTTGCAGCCTGTCTGGTTCTGATTCACATGGTTGCACAAGCACATGCAATAGCAAGGAGAAAGCCCCTGTCTTTGTTTCCTTGACCTGTAACCACTGGGCCATACGCAGTCCTTGGCTTTGTCCGTGTAGCTCCCAGGGAAGGCAGTGGGCATCACACGCATGCCTCTGACGCCAGAGCTGGCCCCGTGGGCCCCTGATGGCATGTAACTTGTGGATCTGTGAAATCCTCCGAGAGGCTGTTTATGAAAAGCTCTATAGAAATGTCAATACAATACAGGAAATGGTTCTAAAGCAACAGCTGAATGTTCTGCTTTTGCATCATATTTTTTCCTCCTCTGCTTGGGAAATGCTGGGTGAAAAACCGCAATGATTTCACTAATAGCCTCTGAGCATTTTACAAAACCCTTCATCCTGCCTTCCCTGAGAGAGGGGCCACAAGGCAGCAGCAATGAAAAATGCTCACAATTTGATAGCGTCCCTTGCTGAAACCTTTCCAGAGCCCTTGTGCCTGGAGTGCGGACGGGAAGTTGAATGTTATGGGCCAACAACTCTGTGGTGATCAAAGCAAACTCAGAGCGAGGAGCGTCTCTGCCGAAATGCCCTTTCCCCATAGCACAGCTCACAGATATGGGGAGTCACCTCTGCACGGCTTAGGCACCAACGGTTGAACAAGAGGGGGAGGCAGCGTGCTGGAGCGCCAGGGGCCGGCTCATCTCACCTACAGTCCAGGGGAGTGTACCAGGCCATCTCAGTGTGTATCCCTGCTTTGTGGAGGCACAACGATCAGTGGGCTGTCAAGAGAGCTCCAACCCCATGGCTGTGTCCCTAACCTGCTTCCTTCACCCCAGTGATTCTCTAGCAGGGTCCTGTGACAACCTGGGGTGCACTGAGATCCTTTCAAGGGTGTTGCAGAGTGCCACACAATGCTAGCAGCATGAGTGTGCTAATGGGATTCCCACGATAAACCCAGAGGAATCCATAGTGCTAAAAACATTCTGACCTGTTGTGGTCTTTCTGCATACTTTGCAACAGAAATACCCATGTAATATTTTTACATAATAAAATAAAAACTAATGAAAACTAAGAGGTTTTCCAACAGGTGCCTGGAGTCTAACAAGGCTGACAACCCCTGCTCCACCCTGTCCTGTCCCCTGCACAGGGGGGTATTGCTGAGACAGCCCAGGGCTGATGGGGCCAGCTGCCTGCCTGGGTGCAGCAGCAAGCTCCTCTGTGCACGGAGGAGTCCCAGACCGTTTCTTGCAGCTGCTCAGCAGCCCCTTTGTGTTGGGCTCGTCGGCAGAAATGTGCTGCAAGGAAATGCTGCAGAGGGACAAATAGCTTTCTATGGGGAGCAAGGTCTGCAGGAGTGAACATTGGGTGGCTCTCAGGAAATGCTGGCAGCTCCTCCTGTTTCATGCTGGGTGGTGCTGAGCCAGCTACTTCCCTTCCTCACCTCAGTTTTCTCAGCTGCAAAGTGGAGCTAATCTCCCCCCAGGGGTGCTGTGAGGTGTGCTTGGTAAGCATTTGTCCACTGCTATGAAAACAGCACTGAATGGTCAAGCTGTTATTACTGCTCCCTTTTTTCTGAGAATCTCAAAACACTGCGCAAGCACCTGTAAAACTCCACAATGCCCCGAAATATGGTTTCTATTTTACACGTGGGGATGTTTCTCCTAGTCTATTGCTCTACACTGTGTTGCCTATTTTGAAGGGAACTCCTTTCTCACCTTCGCCCTCTCATCTTTCCTGGGTGTTGTGTCCCCTAGTTCACACCTCCCAGGTCAAGAGTCCCTGGATGCTGCAGCTCTCTGGCCTTGCACTTGGACGGCACCGATCTGCTCAGTGGAAGACTACACGTGTCTAGAGGAGCTAATCCTCCCGCCCCCGGCGCGAGCAGCCAAGTTCTCTTCTCACACTTTGCTTTTCATGGTACAAATGTTTCTTTTCCTAAAGCTTCCCCCTATCCACCCTCCTCATTCAGTCTCACTGTGCCTTCCTCTGTCCCACAGGTTTCCAGCCTCATGTCTCAGCAGCCCTGGTCCTTTCCTGTCCTGTGCAGTGTGTGCAGTGTTGGAGTCAGAGCTCCACCTTGAGGAGATTTAGGAGAAAAAAAAACATTTTCTCACCTCTTTCTCCAAGTGTTGCTCAGGCCCCAGGCAGCAGCAGCCCTTGGAAAACAGCCGGATGGGGAGGATTTACTGGGTTGGGTGCCGGCTTGAGCATCTCTTGACACTTGGGTCAGGATTGCTGGCATCTGTTGTAGAGGCGGTGGGTCTGGGACCCTGGGGAAGGGCATCTCGGCCCGCTCTCACTCCTGCCTGTTGATCTCAGCACATCGCCAGGTTTGAAGGAACACATTCATATATCTTTGCAGCTGGATAAAAGCTATCCAAGTCACAGCCTTCTGGGGCCTGCGCCACTGCAGGGACAGGAACTGCAGAAGTGGGGTCCATTTCAGTGGATTATGACTAGGCAAAAAATCCCCAAACCTCCAGTAAGGAACCTCCTCCCTCTTCCTTAGGTTTTAGCTTGTATTCCGGGGCCTGGTGGGATTAGGTGACCATACTTATCCAAAATGCATTTGGTTTTATCCAAAGATCTCATGAGAAAACACTTATATTTTAACCTGGGATGGAAATGCCACTGCCAGCACAGCTGCTTCCTGGCTGCAAGAAGGAAATGCAAAGGGGCACAAAAAAAAAAAGATGAAGCCAAAGCATGTTCATTGATTAGAGTTGGATCTCAAGATAGCTTGGATTCATGCTCGAGTTCTGTGTCAAGATCAGAGTCACCGGGACTTACCGAGAATTAACACCTCGGTATCCGGTGCTGGGTGGCCTCAGGCATGACAGGCAGCAGGTGCAAGTTATAACTTTATTTAATCTTTCACATTCAGATATTACAACAAAACTCTTAATGACAAAGTATAACAAGTACTATACGAGGAGAAGAAAGAAAGAAGTGTTTTAACTGGTTTGATATATAACCATGAACTTCCAGAGATAGGACTCAAATACAGTGGGTTGTAAAACCCATGGGTGCTTCTAGGTAACAGCGACACCCACAAACACACAAACACTTTCTCACACTTACAACACCCACTTACTCTCACACACAACACACTTACTCACTCATGCAGAACCCCTAATATCCTACTTTTATCAAAGTCCACTTCACCAAAACATTCAATGCTGCTGGGGCAACAACTGGTACCAGTTTAAAATGTTGCCATATAAATGAAGTATTACTGGATACACAGGTCTGATGCATGTTCAGGGTATGAGCATGTGTATGTGCAGGCAGAGAATTTATGACTGCTTGGAATCAAATCCTTTACTTTCACAAGGGAGGAATGTCTTTTATCAGTATCAATGAGTGGCAAAGAAAAAGGAAACTGTGGGTATATGAAGTACAGTCATTTTTAAGGGACGATGGCAAGTAGGTGCAGTGACAAAAGAAGTGAGGGTGCTGTTATAACCCAGTAGGTATAGAAATTAGCAGGGACTATAAACCTGAACTATAATCCTGTGACTGTCAAAAACCCAAATAGTATTGGACACCAGAGCCAAAAAAACCCAACCGACTAGCTTCATATCATTGGTTGTTCTGATCTGTGCCAAATAAAAAATGAAAGAAATAATAGAAAAGTGGATTTGTAAAACTCTGGAAGGTTTAATACTCACTGAGGTGGCCACAACACTGAAAAGGACATCACATTATGAAACTAGAATTTGAATCTTGCTTGAATGGTTGTAAAAGACCAAGAATACAATTGTCTATGACTGTCCAGATTCACGCATTACGTTCATGCTTCATTAGAGGACACGTTTGCACAGCACACGGTACATGCTCATATTATGGGTGCACTATTCATATCTTTCTCTTGTTGCAGATGCAATAGGATTTGATTTTTCCCCCCCAGTCAAGATGGTACAAACTATAGGCAACAAAGAAAACCTCTGTCCATTTTGAATGACTGCAACAATAAAAATTAAATATTACTCCGGCTCCTCACCACTGAAATTCAGAGACTCGTCCAGGTCACCTCTGACAACGGACTTTAATACCGTAACCTTTCCACAGGCTGGTCTCTGTACACTAGTTATAGCGTGAGTGCATGTTCTGAATGCCGAGACACTGCTCAGCAGTGCAAGCTCACTGCCTGTGAAGCGAAATAATGTGCTTCAAACCCGTGCGTTCACACTGGTCAAGGGAGCTGCATTAGGACCTTGTTTAAACAAGGCTACATTTCAGCCATCCCATACACAAAGCTGTGAGACCTTCTGCAGAGTGTGTTACTTGCTGTTTTATGTATAGACGAAGGCAGGCTGCTATGGAGGATGCCTGCCCTGGAGACAGCGGGCTACATTCAGCTTGGTTTTTTGCTTGCCCTGAAGCAGATATAAGACCTCAGCAGTGCGAAGCGGGCGTAACCTCCCCTCTGCCAAGGGGAGAGCGAAAAATAGCTGCACGTGTGCAGAGGAGAACTGATATTACACAGAGCAGACACTGAGTGCATCCACAAGGCACGGGCCAACGCAGGAAAGGCACGGGCATTGAGGGACAGGCTTAGAAATTCATAAAGCCTTCTTAGGGAAGAAACAGAGTCTGGAAAAAACGTGTCTGGTACAACAACAACAACAGAAAAGCCCAAATAACCCCCTTATTTTATACAAAGAAGCCTGGCCCGCAAGCAGAGTTCCTTGGGTGCTGAGATGCCAGTGAGATAGGGAGCTTCCAGCAGGGAGGGGGATGAGGGATCAGAGATGCTGGAGGGAAGCTCACAAGCTGCTCAAACCAGCCTCTTCAGAAGGAGCCTCTGATGTGCCTGTATGCATTAGGAACAGAGAAAAGGCAGGTGGAGAATGGCAGGGAACCAGAACCAATATGTGTCCCAAAGGGCCTGCAGAGAGATTCCCCAGATCTTCTTCTTTCACGTGGTTTTGCATATACAGAAAGCCACTGAAGCAGCTCCTAAAGAACATAGGGGTACTGCTACCAAACCCCACAGCTGACCAGCAAAGCTTACCGGGATGCGAGACTGGCACACATCGGAGGCTCCGCCATGACATGGGAGCTGCAGAGGAGCCTGGTAGAGGGGGTGTTGCCTGCTGGAGCAGTGGCTGCCTAAAGTGGGCCTCATAGATAGGGAGCACGCTTATCTATCCAGGCTTATAGTGCTTACCGATCCCCGCACACAAGCCTCTCTCTTCCATTGTGCAGCAATGCCAGCAAACGAAGTGCTGCAAGGAAAGGAGCCTTGTCTTTCCGCTTGGTCTCCCCCATTGTTTGTAAAGCACTTGCAGCAGTTTGCATATAAACACCTTGCTCCTTGCCAGCTTGATCCTTTTCCTTCCAGCAAACACTGATTTTCTCCCTCTGCCTTGAAAAGCCAGCTGAGATTTACATGGCTTTGTCATTTATTTTCTTATCTGAGCAACAAATGATCTCAGCACAGCCCTGGGGAAAGGCTGCTTAGCTCCCTGCTGCCAGCACAGAGAGGATAAACCTCTGCTTTTTCACAGGGTCTTCAATAATACTTCATCTGGAGGACTTCAGCTACTGGCTGCTGCCTGTTTCCAGGCCTGTTGCTTTAAGATGGCAAAAATAACCCACCTGGTAAGACACTCAAAGCAGGCCCAGGCATTATTCCCAGAGGGATGCTGGGATGGGATGGACCTGGGGAGAAGGGATGGCATGGGTGGGTATCCCCTGGGGTGCTGGGATCTGCCCAAGTGCCTCTGGGAAATGGCCTGCTTTTGCTGCTGGTTGGGGTTTCTTCCCTTTGATTCTGCCCCCTTCCTCAGTGGCTGATGTGGGGAGGAGAGGCAGAAAAGACAATCCCAGGAAAACAATTTCAGGCTGCGTGTCAGGATGGAGACGGATCTATTTATATCTGACCTGAACCGCGGCTTATGGAGTGGAGTCCTGTCTGCATGGAGCCGGGATGCAAAGAGAAGGGCTACAGTGCTTGGGAGGGACACCCTCCTGTCTGACCCAGACAGATCTCATTACACCCACTGCTCAGGGGTCCCCCCCGCGAGGCGGCAACTTGAGTCGCGGCATCAGTCGGTGTCCAAAGGGGTCTCTCCTTCTCTCCCTGTGCTCTGCATGGGTTTCCTGCTGGGGTTCCTTCTGGCTCGAAGGGGAAGCTCAAGGGGGAAGCTCCATATGGCAGTGGCGATGCAGCGTGGGGGGGGTGGAAGGTGGGTCTCGGCATGGCATCTTTGCTGCCTGTGCCCGTCAGTACTGCTCTGAGAAGAAGGATGCCTGGAGGGCGGAGGCGCTGGCCCCCTCCCCGGGCGGGGTGCAGCTGCCATCCTCCGAGTGTTCTGACAGCTCCCCATATTCGCTGTTGTAAAAAGTCTGGCCTCTGACCTGGGACTGACATGATGGCCGAGCCCTGCCCCTCAGGTCCGACTGTTCCTCTGCCAGCTCCACGTTCCAACCGGGCCCTTTACTGCTGCAAGGGGGAAGAGAGGTGCAGAGAATCAGTCCCAAGCGGCCCCTGGGAACCCCCATCACTCTGCAAGGCTTCCCCGCACCAGGTAGACTCCCCGGAAGAGCTGCCAAGGCAGGGACGGGAGAGAGAGACTTGCTTGGTGTGTCCACACCCCACAGGCAGTGCATGTGAGGGGAACCCCTGGTGTGGTAACCCCGAGGGCCTCCGACAGGCTGGGGATGCTTGCCACCAGCCCATGCCAGCGAGCTAACAGCCAGGGGGCCCTGAGGAGTTAATCCCCAGCATGCTAATAGAAAGCACATCCAAGCTACTAGGAAGAAGCAAGATAACAACCAGTGCTGACACCAAGTGTGCCGACAGTCTGTCCAACCAAGCTGAACCTGGGTCTGCTGACAGCCTGAGCATGACACAGTACAGCCCAGTCACTTAGGGCACAAACACACTGTGCACCCAGGTTTAAATCCTGTACCCAGCACCAGGCCTGACACTTGGGGGTGTGCATGTGTGGGAACGGTTCTCCCAGGGCCACTTGCTGGCAGCTATTTCAGCTCAGTGGTTGTACTGGTCTCTATAGAGCCCTGCACAGTGGCTGGTGCACCTGGGAAGGCAATCAGGTAGAGACAAGTAACAAAGAAGACAGCCCCTGTCCCATCATGGTCACAGCTGAGGTGTCAGACGGGATGCAATCGGTGGCTGAGATGGACAGACAGGTGGGAAGAGGGGGAAGACAAAGGCACAACACAAAGTTTCGCAGGAAAACAGAAACCTCAGCTCCCCCCTGTCTAAGGCCACTGGGCAGCAGGTGGCAGAGAAAGGCTTCAAGGATAGATTTAGGAAGAGGAGTGCCTCTGGGAAGTCTGGCAGGAGATCTTCCCCAGTGCAGTTGTGGCCTGGAAGGAAATGTGCTGATGCTTGAGGGATGAGTGAACAGGCAATGATCAAAGCTGGTGTGTCCCTGAGAGCAGGCTGATGTGTTAGCATGCCTGGAGGACAGGCTGGGGCTAAATGCCCAAGGGTGTAAAAGCCAAGGCAAGGATGCTGAGTCCAAGGTGACGGAGGAGGGTAGACAGTTGCAGACTCAGGGGCTGGGTTTCCCCAGAGCAAACTTGTGCGTAGCTCATGCAAGGCCTCTCTGCCCCCTCCTGCCCCAGTGGCAGCATGTCCCAGCGGGACCATTCCTGACACACCCTGCACACATGCTCTGAACCCAGAAGTGCATTGTGCTGTTGTTCTGGGGTGACCCTCTGCAGCTGCTCTCATGACCTCACTCTTTGGATCCTGGAGAGTGTTTATTGGAACATTTCCCAGTTTAGAGAGTGTGGGTGGGGAGCATATGGGCAGGGCAAGCTGGAGGCCGTGCCAGTCAGGTTGTCTACCTGCATGGGGCAGACCTGTCCTCCACCCTCTAACACAGGGTACTGGCCTTTGTCTCTGGAGAGAGGAGGGATATTCTGGGAAGGTGAGAAGTGGATGTGGTCTCAGTCTCAACTTCTGGATATTGGAAATTAGCCATAATATAGAATGAGAAAGGATACAGAAAGGGCCTGGCCCTGGAATAGCAACAGGTGGTATAGGATTTTACCACTTTCTAATGCTTATTCCTTTTGCTCCTGCAAAAGTAATGTGCCCACTCAGGCCTCTCCTGGCAAAGGGCTCCAGGAATTCAGCTGCTAGGAGCAAGTCTATGGGGAGGCAACCAAGAGATGCACTGCTCCCTGCCTTCAGTAGCAGGAGTCCTAAAGCAGCAGAACTCATCCAAGGGGGTCCGAGTAGGAGATACCTGCATCCACCTTCTTTTCTGTGTCGGTTTTCTATCCTCTCAAACTCCTCAGAGGCCAGAACCATCCCACTGTCCGTTTGATTGTCCTGGGTGGAAGCAAGGGAGCATTATCAGTACCAGCCCTACCAAGTGGTCCTTCCACTCCTGCTGGCATCGTGGGGTGGAAAGCATCATTCATGAAAGCACACACCAGAGCTATCTGCTAGAGAGGTGGCAGCGCTGAGGGAGGTGGGAGACGTTTTTGCCAGGGGATGCTGTGGTTTCAGTGGGCCTCAGCTTTCAGAAGCAGCCTCTGGAAGTCACATTTTCAAATGCAGGGTTTGTGTGTGTACTTTAGGCGACTGGTTTTGAACATCCGCTTCCTTTCGCTGAAGGTACGACCTGTCCCAGCAAACAGCGTGGTACCCGGCATTTTTCTGACAAGGCCCCTCAGTAGCTGGGGAATTAATTTTTGAAACTGTGGGAAAATGGAGGTTAATGTAATTTCTAAGCTATCTAGTCAACACTCAGACAGGCCAGCGATGGCTCTACAGAAATGCTGCACATGACGGTGACAAACATGCACAGGGCTGGACCGGGTAGTACAGAGATGAACAGACAGACCGCATATGGGTAACGACTCTCCCTCTGTCTATCTCACAGTGAATGGGCCAGAAAGTAATGCACTTCCCTCACCTGCCCTTGTACCCCAGGCTGCACTCACCGGGTGTGCTTTATACATGGTGTGCATCATGGGGAACTCCTCAAATGTCTTTATTCTGGACGGACACCTTATCTGATTCCCCCCAGTCAGACAGCCGGGGAATGACACGCAGTTGTAGTATCTGTCAACAGAAACAGGCAGCACATGAGAAAACGAATACACCACTCTCTAGATTCATGCTCTGCGAAAGGTCACCTGTCTTGGGCTCCCCTCAAAGAGCTTATCTTGGTGAGCAAGCAACTCTCACAGGCATTCAGGGGGCTCTGGCAGTTTCTAGACACCTGTGTGCTAACCTTCTTCTTTTAACACAGTGGCATGGAGGCCTGGGGTGGACTTGGTAGCTGTGTTCGTCTGAGACAAGAAGACATACACAAACCTAGAACTCTTGGGTCCAAAATGATACCTTTTATTAGACCAAAACTGGGAAATCAGCAGGACACTTTTCTTGCAATTTCCCAGTTGGTCTAATAATGGGTATCATTTTGGAACCGAGAGTTGTAGTTTTTTGTATGGAGGCCTGAGGCACCGCTCCTCTGGTGATGGAGAAGCACCCACCAGGGAGGGAAGCACCCAGGCAGGCACTCCAGTCACTAAAACCTTTCTGTCATCCTATGCATCTTGGCTATTCAGCTCCTTAGCCATGTCCTAGAGCTTAGCCACCAGAGATACTGTGGGTCTGTGGTAAGAGACAGTGGATAACAGAGGAAATTTTCCATGCATCAATACTGTCCAAGCCCTGCCCTCCAATCATGGAACAGCCTCCCAAGGGTTGAGGCACAGGACCCATCTCTTGAGTCACTTAAAAGTGGACAAAAGAAGGCACCTGATGGATTGGCAGCGACAAACTAGACAGGTAGTTCCCTGGCATAGGAATCCAGGGTCTGGAGTGCATTGCTGGTGGTGGGAGGTCGATGCAGATGATCTGCTCAGGCATGAGGCCTCTCACTGGTCACCAGGAACACAATGAGGAAGCTTTGCCTCCCAGCACCGGACTCAGATCTGCTTAAAGCGCATCCCCAAAGCTTAGCTCTACGGAGATTTTCCAAAGGGCATCATTGCGGGATCAGCTCCTGGCAGGGTTCTTTCTTCCATCAAGATGCTTCCCAGGAGGCACCAGGGACTCACCTTGCTGCTAAACTGTGGCAGCGTATCCTCATGTCAAACTCCTCTTCATCAGAGTTCTGCTGGGCAGAGGAAGGCACCTGGGAGAAGCCGTCATCCTCCGAGCTCTGGGAGTCGTTCAGCGGGATGTAATCCTTCCCTTCCTGGTGGGAGGGAACACAGCTGAGGAGGTGCGTGGAAAACACCAGGAGTGGGCAGGCCAAAACCATCTCCCTTGA